TCGGCTGCACCCGCGAAAGAGCTAGACTTGGGCACCGAAAAGCGAACTGGCCAGCATGCGGCCGCGAGGGGGGAGGAGAAGAGAAGGCCCCTCAGAGGTGAAAGAGTTCGTACCTGAGTGTGCCGGCGCGGCCAGCCCCGTCGGCGGGAACCATGGCAACTGCCAGGCCGTATTACGAGGGTACACAAGGCTCCAACACCGTTCAAGGGTCTCCGACCTGCCGAAAACCCGCCGTTGCACGGGCCCTGGCCCTCCCACAGAAGACCACTCGGAAGCGGGAGCTGGCAAGTGTGCACGTCGTCGGGGGCGCTGCAGGCGCGGGCGCCGTGGCGCCACGGTGTGGGACAAGAGCGGCACTGCGAGAAGAAGTATTAGCGGACAGAAAGCCACCCCCATAACAATCACCCCGACAAGCGAAGCCGCTGAGTGAACGCGCCCAAAGAAAGAATCGAACAAGGCAAGGCTGTTCAATCAACGCCCAGGGCTGTTTAGTAAACGCCAGTTGTCGGGTCCGGGTGGGACAGTTGGAGGCTTGGAAATAGGCACCGACAACAAAACAGCGGGTTGCGTCCACCAGAGGAGGATGATCCCAGATTTGGGGGCTGGTGGTAATCTTTCGGCCATTTAGGGACCCCAAAAATATGTCCACCATAACCGAGATCAGGATCAGCTTCACTCGGTGGAGGCACACCGCCGATGTTGTTGGTGCCAACCTCACGGACCCCCAGACAAGAGCGGCACTGTGAGAAGAAGTATCGAACCATGTACGCACGTGCTCCCAAGTTCACCCTCTCAGGCATTCCCCAGACATCCCGCCGTTGGCGTAAAAAAGAAACGGGCATAATGGACAACGCTGCTGTGTTCAGAACCCCCGTGCCCCACAATTTCAACCCAGAAAACGGCTGCGAACGCAACTTTGAAATCGGGGGTCTGGGGGCGGCAGCGTCGAGGCAACGTCTGTGGATGGGCGTTTTTGCACCCCAACAGCGGTATCGAACCATCGACGCACGCGCTCCCAAGGTCACCCTCGAGTATTCCCAAGACATCTGCTCTGGCAACGCCAGTGCAGTCGCGAAGAAGAATAAAACCTGCAGAAACATAAACTGCCGGCGGTCCGAAAGTTGATGTTTATGCCTTTCGTCCCCTGCGATCGAAGCCAACTGACCACGGAAGCTGGCTTGCCAACGGGGCGGGCTCGCGCGGGCGACCTTCGGAGCCCACCAGCGCCTCGAAGAGCTCCCTCCGAGCCTCCACCTGGGAGCCGCAAGGGAGCAGGCGGGAGCGAAGGGGGTAGGGGAACGAAGAACGACGCAAACATAAAAACTCGGAGGTCCGCGCGGATTTCTCGGATCGGCGCTGGACCCCCCTGGTGGCGCTTCCGGCGCCGCCGTTGTGAGCCGTGCCCTGGACCTCGGAGCCCGAGGTGCGAGGCGAGGGCTTTCTTTCATGACCACCGCAGTGGTGGTCGAGCTTCGGGGGTTCCTCGGTGGGCGGTGGTTCTGGGCAGAGGCGACCCCCCTCCCCAGGGTTAGGTCCGGCATGTCCCCGTACAGGCGGGGCTTGGGCGAAAAATAAAAAAAATAAAAAAATGCCAGAATCTTCAAGAACAGTCAAACAATAATCGAAAAATCGTCTCCTTACTATTTTTGACTAGTTCTGAATCTTCCTCCTGTAGAGGGGCACGCCCGACTTCAACTTAAACCCGGGGCCGATAGATGTGCATATATATATATATATATATATCCCTACCCGCCGCTCGCAGACGCCCCCGAGGCTCGATCCCCCGGGGCGGAGGCTGTGGATATGAATCCCCGCCTCGAGGAAGCCTGGCGGACGTCCAGAACAAGAACACCGAAGCCCCACGAGGTCGGCCCCTCGGGGGGGGCGATGCTGCGACGCGCGGCTTCGCACGGTGCGTGCTCTCGACGAGGGGGAGAGGGGGGGAGGGGGAGAGGGGGGGAGGGGGGAGGGGCAAGCTAGGTGCGCTCGCGTCATCTCTGACGTCCTACCCCTCCCTCCCATCCATTATCATGGCGCTGATTTTCTCTATTCGCGGACGCGTGTCGTAGCGGACCTGTGGCTCCGCGCGCGCGTGCGTAGTGGGTGGTGGTGCACGTGCGTGCGTGCGTGCGTGTGTGCGTGGTTGTCGTGGTGGTGGTGGTGGTGGTGGTGGTGGTGGTGGTGGTGGTGGTGGTGGTGGTGGTGGTGGTGGGTGGTGGTGGTGGTGGTGGTGGTGGTGGTGGTGGTGGTGGTGGTGGTGGTGATGGTGGTGGTGGTGGTGCTGGTGGTGGTGGGTGCTGGTGGTGGTGGTGTTGGTACTGGTGCTGGTGCTGGTGGTGGTGGTGGTGGTGGTGGTGGTGGTGGTGGTGGTGGTGGTGGTGGTGGTGGTGGTGGTGGTGGCGGTGCGGCGCGGTGGTGGCGGGCGGATGGGCGCGCGAGAAAAAGGCCCGCGCTGGGGCGAGAACGCCATCCTGAACGACGGAGGCCAAACACCGATCCGAAAATGAGGCCCACGCTGCAGCGGGAGCACGATTCGGAACGATTCGGGAGCAGAAATGAGGCCGGCGCCTCAACGAGAGCAGCATTTGGGGAAAAAATGACGCCGGCGCCTCAGCGAGAGTCGTTTCCCGGGATTTCCCGGGCATCCTGTGTGTAAAAAAACAATACGCGGAGGGTGCGCGGCCATCACCCGGACGCCATCAGGGGAAGAGGGAGAGTATTTTCATATTGAGTAATTGTGGAGGGGGCAAAGGGGGGAGAGGGGGAGGAGGGAAGGGGGGGGGGGGGGGAAGGGGGCTCGCCCCTCGAAGAGGGCGAAGGGGAGGGGGAGGGGGGGGGGGCAAGCCTGGACGCCTCGAACATCGCGTCGCTTTGGGGCACGAGGGGCGGCAAAGGCGCCCTGGTGCGGCGGCGACATCTTAACCCTGCCCTGGCCAACCGTCGGTTCTCCTGAATCGATGGGAGGCGGCGGGGGCAAAAGGATAAAGGATAAAGTCCTGTCAGGGTGGCCCGCGCGGGGCAAGACCTTCATTGAGGTCTCAATTGTCGAACTTGGCCTCCGCCGCCCAGTTCACGTACTCGTCCCGGTGCTGCTGTCAAGCTTCCCCCGCAGCAATAGCTCGATGGGAGGCGGGGGCAGGGTTAGGTCGGGCATGTCCCCCTTACAGGGGTATTTTGGACGAAAATCAAAAAATGGTCGACAAATGTTCAGAAAAGGTTGAAAGAATATTCGAAAAATCGTCCCCAGAGTATGTTCTACTATGTTTGAAGATTCCTCCTATAGAAGGACACGCCCGACTTGAGGGTAGGGATCGGATTGCGCCACGTGTTCGCCGAATTCCGAACCGCAACCCACGCCGCCCATCGAGTTGCCTGAATCGTTGATCAGCGAGGGCTGGCTTCGGATTTCGCCGCCGACCGGTGGAAACGAACACGGGTACTGGTCCCCAGCGATTTCTCCGGGAGCAGTACTTCTTTCCTAGTCGTTTCCGCGCTTCCTCCTCGCTCCGTGCTCTGGGCCCTGGCGAGTTCCCTTCGCGAGGCCGACCCCTCTCGCAGAGACCTGCACCTGCGCCTGATTGCGTCTGACAATCGGTGATCCGCCATCCGCCACCGCACCTCGCTGCGACCGGAGGTCCGCGCGGACTTCTTGGATCGGCGCTGGACCCCCTTCTCTGGCGGGGGGCCCAGCGCCGATCCGAGAAGTCATCTGCGCGGACCTCCGGAAGTTGTATGTTTATGCATTTGTCCCTCGTCCATTGCCACCAAGTCGCTGTCGGCGCCAGAGCCCCCGCAGGCGAAGCACTTCAGGACGATGACGCAGGAGACCTGCTGGGGGGGCTCGGGCGGCATCGGTGGGGGCCCTCCCCGCGGAGCAAGCCCATGCGAGGCGGGGATTATCCATATCCGCGGCCTGGGAACTGACGTCCTGGTGCCCCAGCGGGCGGTGGATCTGGATATATTCTAGCCCCCGTGGGCCCGTGGTCATGTATGAATTCCCACCTCGGAGCCCAGCCCCCAGTCCCTGCGGAAGCGGCCCAGCATCGCCAACAGGAAGCGTGTGCGCGTGCAGGCGTGCAGGCCTCTCGCTCTTGCTGCTCGTCTCTTCCCGCACTGGCCTGGCTTGCTTCTGCCTCCTGCCCAGAGCACAGGGCACGGGCAGGCTCGTGTCGCGACGGCCCGTGGCTTCTGACACCGCGTGGCTCGTTCGACCCGGAACGATCGGAGGCTTCTCGATCGCCTGACTGCTCCAGGTTTAGGGGGCCACATGTGAACCCTGCCCCTACCCCCCACGATTTCCGAGGGGGAGGGTGGGGTTCACTTCGTTCGGGAGCTCCCGAGCCAAGTGAACCCCACCCTCCCCTCAAAAATCGTGGGGGGGTGGGGGTAGGGTTCACATGTGGCCCCCTAAGGTTGGCCGATTCTGGGCCGCGTCGACACGACACGGACCCACCGTGCTCTGCCTCTTGCACGCCAGGCGCCACCCTCGAGGACGGGGTGGAGACGACGACGGAGGACAGCCGATCGGGCGAAGCGGACAGGGTGCCCAGCCCTGGAAGACTCCGAGAGGCGCTGGGGCTGCGCATCGCCGAGGGCCGCAGAGCGCGGCGCGGCGGCACGCTTCACATCCAGGTCGATGTTCTGTACTGACTGCGTGCTGGGAACTCCCCCGTCCAGTGGGAGAGCCCTGATGGATTTGTTTCTCTGATTACCCAACTCTGCACTGACCCCTCACACCAAACCGCCGTGGTTTGACGGTTGACCTGTGCCTCTTGACTCGATGGCTGACGCTGCAGTGAAAGAGAAAATGCAGACTTAGAGTATGAAGCTCCGTTCCCTCGTGGGCGCCACTCCGACTGGCTGTTCGGGCCGGCCTCGTCGGGGCAGCGATGGGGCTCCCGCTGGTTTAGAAGCAGACGCGGCGCGCACGCGCGACGACAAGCCAGAGCAAGCACAGCAAATAGATAAGATCTTGAGACGGATACCTTCCCCTTCGCCATCTCGCGGACGTCACCGCGGACCTCCTGGAAGATCCGCAGCTTGTCCTGCCAGACGCCGCTCGGGTGGAATGAGGGAGCGGCCACAGGAGAGCCTGACGACTGAGGTCCTGGGCGCTTAGACGCACCCCGACGTCGACCCAAATCGCCTTCAAAAACGACCCGTGCTGAGAGCCATAACTGGCCTTCCACCCCGCGTCCTCGTTCTTCTCCTCCTCCTCCTCCTCCTCCTCCTGGCTCTTCGATCCCACTCTTCCCTCCTCTGCCTTTATGTGGGCTCTCTGGGGAACTTCGGACTGACCATCGCGACCGCCGAGAATTACCATTTAGTGGCACGTAGTGGCCGCTTAGCGGCCTGCAGCGGCCGTTGAATGGCACTTAATGGCACTTGGTGGCCTTTAGCGGCTCCGAGAATCACCATTTGGTGGCACCTAGCGGCCGCTACTGGCTCCGAGAAGTACCATTTGGTGGCACTTAAGCGGTCGCCAGCGGCTTAGCGGCTCCGAGAAATTCCATTTAGTGGCACTTGGTGGCCGTCAGTGGCTCCGAGAGATAAAATACCACTTAGCGGCACTTGATCCCATCTGGGCCACGGCATGTAAGTCAGGGCTCGGGGTGGCCGACCTCCGTGAAACCACGGGCGCGTGAGTGAGACCGCCGGCCCCATCGGGACCGCAAGCGCTCGTGCCGCGGAGTGACGCTAAGCGCCGCTGTCTTCAAAAAAACACACCCCATTCGAAGACATTCTAGAGTTCCTCCTGAAAAAAACACCCAAAAAACACCCCAAAAACACCCCAAAAAACACCAAAAAAAACACAAAAAACACCCAAAAAAGATCTTCAAAAAACACACACACACACACAACAAAAAAAAAAAAAAAAAAAAAAAAAAAAAAAAAAAAAAAAAAAAAAAAAAAAAAAAAAAAATGGCCGCATACCTGCCTGAACCGCCAGCCCCGACGAAACTCGGCGCTTCGGTCCGCGCACACCCTGGCGTGCGCGTGGGAGGTCGGGCTGGGCCGCAGGGCCCCGCGCAGCCTGCGGACCAACAGCTCCGCCACTGCGACCCCCTGTCGCGTCGAGGCGTGCTAGAGCGCCGAGTGCTGTCGGGGGTCTGAAATCTCCTCACGACCCGCCCGCCCACCCACGCATCAGGGGTAGCCCCAGACGGCGTTGTTCGTTATCGTCGTGTTTTGTGTTCGGCTCCCGTCGTGCTGTCTTCCGTGCGCCTCTGCTGCGAAACGGCACCGAAACGAAAACGGCCCACGAAATCGCCAAGACAACGTTTGGGTCGACCCCTGCCACACAATGGGTGCATGCAGCACCTCTCCCTCACGAGGCTCCCTGGGCGGGTCCCGGCATCTCCCCGAGGCTCTCTGCAGCTGCCCAAGCCTTCCAGCACGGCGCGGGAAGGCAACCGAGTCCGCCAACACATCACCGTACTGGGGGAACGAACCATGACGGAAACACGAAAACTCGGAGGTCCGCGCGGATTTCTCGGAGCGGCGCGGGGGCCCCCGGGCGGCGCCTCCGGCGCCGCCCCCTCCGCGCGCCAGGGAGGGGGGGTGCAGCGCGGACGCAAGAAATCCGCGCGGACCTCCGAGTTGTTATGCTTATGCCATGTTTCGGCTCCCGACATACAGCCCCCGAGGACCCCAAGAAGGGTCAAAGACTTCCCAGACGTCCTTCCGGGAAGTCCGAAATCATGCAAAAAACAAGAACGATCCCCTCAGGTCTTTAAAAAGTGTGCGTTTCCCGGTCGGCTCAAGATGGCTCTGACCGAGCTTTCGGAGAAACAAAAAATACCAATGAGGACCCGAAAAAGACCCCCCTAGCCGGCCGGGGACAACCCAAAGAGGGCTCCACTACGGCACAGGAGGGGCCTGGGACAGCTCCAGAGAGCCGCAAGATGGACCATACAAGCCTGGTCAAACATAAATTGACACGCCTTTCAAAATCGAACCGCTCGATAACTCGAGCACGTGTCAGAAAACGCGTTCTTCAACGCTGTGAGGGTAATGTCGGATTTCGGGCACCCCTGCGTCAGGCAAAGTACCTCGTGCCAAAACTGAAGCAGCGCCGACCACGCAAGCACCGAACACAAGAACCGTCAGTCATGTTTGCCGAGCCCTGTGGGAGGCACCCAGGACCACCGCACGCGGCAGCGAGAGGCCCAAGATGGCAACAGGACGGCCCACGAGGGCCCCAAGACGGCCCCGCGCGTGCCCAAGGCAGCCCCAAAACGGCCCAGGCCAGGCAGGCCTCACGAGGGCCCCCCCCAGGCGAGAGGCCCACCCCAGGCGAGAGGTGCCACATGTGTTGCACGGTGCAGTCGATCGAGGCGTCGGATCTCGGGGCGCGGAGGCCGCCCACCTGGTGTCGGAGCAGGTCGGACGGAGGGTCGCACCACATCGTCGACGCATGCACGGGGAGGAGGAGGAGGAGGAGGAGGAGGAGGAGGAGGAGGAGGAGGCGGAGGCGGAGGCGGAGGCGGAGGCGGAGGCGGAGGCGATGAACCAGCGATGCTGGGGTGGAGACAATCAGACTCCATGTCGGCGCCGCGTCGCCACACAGAGTGTTGCGCTGGCACTCGAGGAGCAGAAGACTGCATAGACATAGAATGTCAGGGGTCCGCGCGGACTTCTTGGATCGGCGCTGGACCCCCCTCCCTGGCGCGAGGAGCGCTCCAGAGGGCGGCGCCAGAGGCGCCGCCACTGGGGGGGTTCAGCGCCGATCCGAGAGAAGAGCGCGAAACGCCGAAAGCTTAACCCTGGGAAGCGAACAATGCCCCCCCCCCCCTCGGCTATACCGTAAACTGATTATGCTCGGCCTCAAAAAATCACAGAAAGAATCCCAACGGAAACTCAATAAGGACCCCCAGAGGAATTTTAGGAATTTGGAAAACGCGGGCTCGCGTAGACGTAGGCAATCTCGAATGCGATCTAATTGCAGGCAGTGGCCAATTTCAGGGGACCATATGGGAGAGTCCACTGAGAGGTATCGCAGATATATCAGCATTTCTGTTGTACAAAAAATAACCCAAAGACCGATTGAACGCCATACTATCTATACTGATTGATTAGAACTATTAGCGCGTGGTACTGCCCTCAAAAGATTGTTGGTCGAAACATTGTGTGTATGATAATATATGACGACGGATAACATCGGGGGAATGGCATGGGACATTCAAGTATGTGCTAAGAGCTTCAGAACTGCCCGTAATGATACGAACGACAAAACGGTAAAACTATTGATAACATCTTTAACCATTTACGAAGGCATAGCTCTTCGTCGCAACCGCCCATACAACATCTGCACCCAACGATTATGGGGTGGGGACAGCAACAAAATGAAGCCAGCACAACAACAACGATACGAACATGTCTCACTGAATGAACTTGTTCCTTAATTAAGCAAGGTTTTTGAACAGCATCGCCCAAGGAATCTCAAATGAGCCCCTGATGTGATCTCAAAGCAGCCGCCTTCGAATCTGACGCAACTCCCCATCTCTGAGCGCCTGGCGAGATGATTTCCGGGATCCATAAGACGCTCGTCGTTGGAACCCCCCTCCTGCTCCTGCTGCACGCCCAGGGGAACTTGGGTCGCGGGACTCCACGGGGGGTATCGCTTCCGCCCTGGCCCTGGTGGCGGAAGCGTGGCAATTTCCTCTGGTGATGGGGGGGTACTGAATGCTTCCGAGGGTTATGTACTTTCCTATGCTTTGGTCACTGATGCAGTTTCTCTCTTCGAAGTCGGACTCCAGGTCGGCGCCGCGTCGCCAAACAGAGAGCTGCGCTGGCACGGTGGCTCGGAGCAAGGCGAGTTGGGACAACAGCAGCTCAACAGAATCGGTCCCCAGACACCTCCCAAAGTCCAAGCGCACCGACGATCCAAGCTGCGTCCAGCCGTGGCGACGAGGGCCCCCTCGGGGGCCAACTACCGTTGTCTCAACTCGCCCTCCGCATCGTGGCGGAACTTGCCGCAGGCAGCCGGATACGCCCACGGAGAATCAGCGGTGGGGGTCTCAAAACCGCGTGGTGACAGACCGTACGGTGACCTCGGAATCTCCAAAAGCCTCGCCGCACGGTCGGCCACCGCACTGTTTTCGGATTCTGGAGGCCCCAGTCCCCCAATTCATCCTCAGAGAACGACCGGAGTCCCGAAACCGCGCGGTCACCCCTAACCCCCACTGGCTCACCATACGGCGTGGTTCTGTCTGGGCATCGTGTCCGAAGGGGCCAATGGGGATGCGCGAAGCGTTCTCGAGAGGGAGGTGCTCTTCGGCCCGCCCAAGGGAGAGATACTCTGAATGGGGCAACAATCGCCCCCCCTGGATCCGCTGTGGGGGTCGGGCACGTGCTGTCGGTGCGGGTGGAAGGGGGGTTGGAGGAGGAGGAGGAGGAGGAGGAGGAGGAGGAGGAGGAGGAGGAGGAGGAGGAGGAGGAGGAGGGGGAGGAGGAGGAGGAGGAGGAGGAGGAGGAGGAATGCGAGGAATGCGAGCATGAAAGACAGCAGAAGTCTTAAAGAGAAAGATTACGAAACCGAGCTCGAGACCCCCCCCTCCCCGCGGCAGTCCTGCGTCGACTCCACGACGGGCGGCCGCGCGAGGCGGGCGAGCTCAGTGTCTCGGACATGGCTGGGCGGGCCCCCTGGATGAGGGTAACGCCCCTCAAGAATTCTCTTGAGATTATGATCACCCTTGGGGCTCGGGGTGCATCGGCCAACATGCCATCTGGGGTCACACGTGGCGGTCTTGCCACAGGCACTGCAAAAGGTGAGCCCGTAGCGCCCCCAAAACTGGAGGCGGTGGGAGAGGTGGAGCGGCGAACCTCCAATCTCCCGGGGACCTCGCAGCGGGGCAATGCCGTCCCCCAGAGGCCTGGCCTGGCAGGAAGAGAGAGCGACAGCTTTGATGGTAGCTCTCGTTTCGTAACGAGAGCAGCACAGACAAACGAACTTGGGCCCGATCTTCCGCCACTCGTGGGCGGAGACACGGACGACGCG